CTTAAACATAACTACGTAAAACGTTTAGGTTACAATAAAAAACTTGAACGGAGTTATGAATTAAATTTTTTTTTTCAATATAACGTTTTAAACTGGTTTTTTTTTTAGCTTTTTTTTTTTGTATCTAAAGGGATTTGAATGAGAAATACCTATGATTGCTTTTAATCTTACAATATTTTTGTGGCTGCATTTGCTTAGAAGTTTCAGAGACTCTTTTTTATATATCTGTATATATAAAAAAGAGTATATATTTGTATATATAAAAAAAGAGTGTATAGTGACATATATTATTACACATTTAACCTAAATAGAATTATTTACTTATAACGAGTTTATATTTACTGGTTTACTGGTAACATTTATTCGCTTTTTACACTTTATTATTTTGTAAAAGTTTTATTTTTAATAAAAGTAATTTTGATATTGCTTTGAACTGCTAAAAAGTTTTAAAAACTGCTGACGTGGCAAACAGAATAAAGTTGTGTTGCAGGTACAAGGTTTTTTGCATTTATAGTTAAAGTTTTTTTAGCATAATTTTTATATAAAAATAAGTATTTTGTTCTTTAAAATGAAAATTAATAAAAAATTGAGGTGCCGTCTAGTTTTAAACCAATAATATATATATTGAAAATAGAGAAATATTCTTAAATAAATAAATCAATCATTAGGTTTTTTGCTATTTTTTTGTGTTTCGTTACATTTTAAAGCTTCTTATTTTTAGCTAATTTTTCATGTTTCCTCGCATTTTTAACCTTCTTATTTTTAGCTTTTAGCTAATTTTTCTTGTTTTCTCGCGTTCATTATACTATTGTTTTTAGCAAACTCTTTATTTCAATTATTCAGTTTAAATTTTATCTCAATTATTCAGTTGTTTTTTTTTTCTTGTGTTTTTTTCCTCTTACTACATTCACTAAAATTAAAAAAAAACAAAAAAACAACGACTAAAACAACTTGACTGGCAAAAAAAATTTGTCTGCTATAAATTTTGTATGGCTTCTTTTATTAAACATAAAGCAAAAATAATGACAAAAGTGTTTTTTGACAATTTTAAACTAAAATATTCCAAGCAAAATGGGCAAAAACCGAAGTAAAATGGGCTAAACATTAGATTCAATCGTGATCAAGTTAAACGAGCTTTAAATGTGAATGTCGAAAGTAATTTATTTTACAATTTTTCCATTTTTGACGATTAAAGGGATAAAAAGACGCATGAAATAATAGACCGAATTAATCGAAGCTACGGAAGTAGATCAAAGTTTTAAACATTTTAATTCTCTAATACTTAAAATGGGATTGGAATCATTTTTTTAAGTGTTTAAAAGATATTTAAATAAAAAGTATTAGCGAGTATAATTCCAATTTAGGGCTAATTTAGGTTGTCTTGCTAACGGAAAGAGAAAAGAATTTTTAATCAGGTAAACAACCTGTATTTTGAAATTGATGACATGGTATCAGGTATATCTGATACTATGTTAATAAACAACCTGTGTTTTGTGGAGTAGTTGAGGTTACGTTTTAACTATGAAACTACTAATAATTATAACGTTCTAATTATTTTTGAGAAAGCAAAAGTTGAATGGTAAACCTTGGCTGATTTCACTGAATCTTTTTTTAATTTTTTTTTTTTACGAAGTTTGTTTTTAAAAATGAAAATGAAAAATATTTTATTATACTTTGTTTGATTAAATAACTTGCAACTTTGTTTATGAAAACATAATCTTACAATGGTAATCTTGTAATGGTTCGTTTCATTTTATTCGTACTTCATCTACATTTTGCAACTTGCAACTAATATGTTAAAATTTGTTTTTTTTTGGATGCCTTATGATTTAAATAATTGGATAGATGCCATGTGATTTATATAATTTAGGAAATGTTTAGAGTATTAAACGAAACATTTATAGTATTAAAGTCCTTTTTTTTTGTTTCTAATTAACTTTTAATCGATTACATTTTAGAACTTTTAATTTTTTGATTACGTTATAGAACTGTCTAAACTACCTAACACAAGTCTATGATACTAATACCACCTAAATTATTATAGCTACACACGGACTACATCAACAAATCCCATAAAAATAAAATGATCATCATAAAATGGACTAAATTAAATTTTCTTGTTGAATAAAAAAGAGCTTATATTAAACTCTATTAATTCATTACTAAACAATTAAGCATAATAATTAGTTTTATGTATTATCATTAATACTTTACATTGCTTTGCTGCTTTGTTATAGGAAAAATATAGTGTATATTTTAGAGTTGTAGCAAAAACATTATCTTTTTATATTTTTATAAGAAAAAACTATTTTTAAAAAACTTTAATCAATTTTAGCTCAAGTGATTTAAGAGTTTATTTTACAAAAAAAAAAGGTCAATAAAAGTCAAATGTCCAAATTATCCTGTGACCATATTACTGATTACTCCTCCCCTATGGAGTTTAATGCAACTAAAGTATTAAACATTTGCTTTGTTTTTAATGCTAATGTAAACAATGTTGTGTTTAAACAAGTTATGCAATATATCTAAAAAAAAATTGAACTAATTAACTTTTCAGGAAAAGCCGAATAGCTTAGCTATTGATTACAAATATATATATATATATATATATATATATATATATATATATATATATATATATATATATATATATATATATATATATTTAGTTCTATATATATATAGTTCTATATATATATATATATATATATTATATATATATATATATATATATATATATATATATATATATATATATATATATATATATATATATATATATATATATATATATATATATATATATATATATCAAGAACAAATAAAATTAAAACAGGGTAGAAATAGAAATATAGGATATAATAAAATATTTATAACAATTTTTCGCTCCTATTTAATTTTTGGATAAACATTTTTCAAATATTTTGTATTCAAACTGTAAAAATCTTTTTCTTAAAAAATTTTTTTAAATAAAATAAATTTTTTTAAAAAATAATTGTAAATTTTTTGAAAAAATTGTTAAATCTTTCGCCGCGTAATACTTTTTTTTTTGTGGAAAAATGTGCATAAAATTCTCAGAACCGAAATTTCACTGAACTTAAAACAGATCCTTCTAAAGGATCCGTTTCAAGCTCAAGATCCAAGTATAACATTTAACGTTCGTCAAACGTACCCTTGTAACGCCGAACAAACGAATCCTAGTAAAAACTTTTAAAGCCCGTCATGAACCGATAAAATGTTTTGAGTTCAAAACGGAAATGTTGAAAGAATAACTCGATAAATGATTTGACTTTCAATAGTTATGCCTAAACTCACCAATTAATCTAAGTAAATTCTTCGAAAAAACTTTATTATTATCAAACTTATTCTAATATAAAAAATGTCACGAAAAAACTGTCTGCCAAAAACTAAGCGGCGAATACTTACTCAATAAAGCTGCTCTATAATTTTGCATACCAGTAGAAACTCTTTAAAGGCGTCTAATCAAACATCTTAGCTATTGCGTTTTGAATCTATACCAACAACATCTAGCATCAGCTTACATCATATTGCATTTGCTCCAAAGTTATCTCTTAACTTGCCTATAGGTCAACTCGCCTGCAACTAACCTTCAATATAGTTGTATCGCTTTCAAAAAAAAATTCAAAAAGAAGCTGAAAAACAACTACTAATAACCCACTTTCCACAGCAACAAACGTTTCAAATTCAACACGTTACCACGCAAAAAAAAAAAAAAAAAAAAAAAAAAAACATCCGAAGAGAACTTTATGATTTTATCTTTCTTGCAAATACTCGTATAATATCATTAGTTTGCAAAGTTCCTGACGTAACTTATTCTTTTTATACTTTCCTGGTAAATTCTGATATTTTCAATTATTTCTGGTAATTTTTAAAGAATTTTATTTTACTTATATTTTTATCAAAACATCAAATCTTTTAGAATATCTCATGTTTAAGCTTATAACGTTAATATAATAAATAGAAAAAGTAACACAGCAAATAAAATAAAACACAGTATGTTAACATACAATACAACTGGTTCACATAAAACACAATAACATGAGGAGTTGATGGCACAACAAACATTTACTAAAAAAAACTGTTAAATCAATGTTTTTGGGCTTTTACAAAGAAATTATTTGTTTTCTCATAAGAATAAGTCTGACGATTGGATTAATTTATCAAGCGCTTTTCAAATGTTGCCTCATTATACAATTTTTTATAAAGTTTAAGCTCGAGTTCAAAGTGAAAACGCTGGTATATGTATAATTAGGACCTTTTAAATTTTCTTAATTTAAAAGAAAAAATGTAGATTTTTAAAAAAAACATTTTTTACTGATTAAATTTATTATTACTATTATTATCATAAAACTTTTGGTTCTGAGGAGAAGTTCAGACAACTAGTCACTGCGTCACAGAGCCAGACCACTAGTGCCACAGCTGCTATTAAACCCTTTTTTATTGTTTACATTTTAATTAGGAAAAAAAAAGTCTTTTCTTATTCCCTACATTTTAATTTAGAAAAGAAAAACCCTTTTTTTTTTTTACATTTAATTTAGGAATGAAAGACCTTTTTTTTATTCCCTACATTTTAATTTAGGAAAGAAAAACCCTTTTTTTATTCCCTACATTTTAATTTAGGAAAGAAAAACCCTTTTTTTATTCCCTACATTTTAATTTAGGAAAGAAAACCCCTTTTTTTCTATTCCCTACATTTTAATTTAGGAAAAAAAAACTTTTTTTATTCCCTACGATATAATATAGGTAAGAAAAATGGGTTTTACATTAAAAAATTTATCTCGACTAATTTCAAGCATATAAATGGTATACTAAAGTGCGTAAAAATAACATGAGTTATCTGTTATAATTTATTATATCTGTTGATATTGTATTATATCTGTTTGAATTTTCTTATATATGTTGGAGTTATACTGACTGTTGGAATTTTATGATGTATCATGTTGAAATTTGAATAAAATTTTTTTCTAAATTTCATTTAGACTATTTTCCTATTTTTCTTCTATGTCAACTAAAATTAAAGCAATGCAACCTAGTGGCTCCATTATCCAATCAAGAAGAAATTTGCAAATCAATAACTTTTATACAACCAATTATTCGTGAAGGGTGCGACACAATTATGGTTGAGAACAGTTATTGTGTTGGTTCATGCAAATCAGTAACAAGTATCTCAACAGACACAAATATAAACCCATCAAATTTTTCATATTATTGTGATGCGGCAGAAATTCATGAAGAAAAATTTCAATTGAACTGCAACTCTCGGAAAAAAAAAAATTTAACAAAAATAATCGCTGTAGTAAAATCGTGTAAATGTAAAGCTCAAATTTTGTAACTATTAGTAACAAACTTGTAACTACTCTGTTTATAGAGCATTAACATCTAAGAAATTTTTTCTGCAACTAAAATTACGAATATTTAATCACTAATAAATATATAAATATGATTGTACAAATTTTGTCATTTGATTTTAACCAATAAAATGTTATTTTAACTTATTATTAGTTTACAAAAATTAAAACTTTCAATAACACTATCCAATCATGGCTGATCTAATAACACCATCCAGCCATAACAAAGCAATTTTTTAATTGTGATTTTGTACTCTGCAACTATTTTAGAGTCATGGCAATTTTACCTTTTATATAATTATTTATAAATACTTGAAGTACATTTTTATATTTGGAAATATTTTAGCTGCTTGTTTTATTTATAAATTGTATAGTTTATGACATTTTTTAATCTAAAAAACATTTTAGAGGTTTTTAATGCATATTTATCTTAACCAATGTCGGAAAGGGGTAAAATACTATAGTGTGTTGTGAAGCAGGCTAACTAAAAAGCTGAATATCTGGTCCAGGCTGTATTATGGAGAAGTTCTTATAGGTACACGGTGTTTAGGTGCTAGGTACTTTGTCTTTATTATTTTAGGCCATATTTAATCAATATATTCTTGAAATAGCTTTTCACGGCAATCTTTTATATAATATTAGTGAGTTGCAAATTACCAAATAGTAAAAAAACTTCATCTGATTGGTAATTTTTCTAATCTTTTATATATTTACTCACTTTAATTTGTAAAAAAAAAATGCGCATTATGCAGTCAAAATGTGGTTCTTTTATTTAAAAAATAATATATTGATATTCCAAACCCTGCAAATAATATTCAGATTTAAAATTATTGACGTTCGGGGGCAAATTATTGACATTTAAGAGCATTTAAAAACGCACATTAAGGATCAAAAAAGTTTAGATTTTTTTTTTTAAAACAAGTTAAGTTTCTAAGACGTTCAGTTTTTTTTAATGAAAGAAGGAGACTGTTGCAATATCAGTAACTATCGCCCTATATCTATCCTTTTTACCTTTTCAAAAATCTTAGAGCGTATTATGTACAATAGAGTATACAACTATCTTGTCTCCAATAATCTTTTATATAATAATCAATTTGGATTCAAAAAAAAATAATTTTACCGAACAAGCAATCATCCAATTTGTACGAGAAATCTCAAATTCCTTTCAAAAATCTCAATTTAGATTAGGTTTTTTTATTGACTTGTCAAAGGCTTTTGATACAGTCGACCATGAAATCCTGCTTGAAAAACTAAAATATTACGGATTAAACTATATAACTATAAAATGGCTTCGTAGTTACTTGTCAAACTGCAAACAATTTGTTTTTATTAATAACTATAACCAAAGCCATCTACTAAATATTTCCTGTGGTGTTCCCCAAGGAAGATAGATCTTGGGGCCACTTTTGTTCTTAATCTATATAAATGACATAAATAAAGCCTCAAACTTAATGAGTATCATGTTTGCCGACGACACCAACTTATTCCTGACTAATAATGACATATCCAAACTCTTTTCTAACGGGTGATGCGTAATTAGTGACACAAAAGTTAACTTAGTTTTGCTCGTAATATAATCTTTTTCATTAAACCATATAAATTTATTTTGGTAAATTGAATATTCTAGTTTTATTAAAAAAAAAAATTATCCAAAAAAAATGTTAAACGGCCAAGAAAGAGCACTCTTCAAAAAAGCGTCAAAAATTTTTTTGTAAAAAACCCAAAAGCGAACATAAAATATCGGAAACGCTAAAAAACACCAAAATACAATGATGAACAACGTCTAAGGGCACAAAAAAGAAGTCGAAAACTCTTCAATCACCTCTACAAAGAACAAAGCGTTTTAATTTTGGACGACGAAAAATACTTTTGTTTTGCTGCCTGGAAACGCCGGTTATTACACGAACGACAAAGAAAAATGTCCAGAAAATGTTCGTTTTGTGGGAAAAGAGAAATTTCTGAAAAAAATTCTTGTTTGGATCGCATTATCTGAGCGTGGAATGTCGAAACCACTCTTCCGGTCGTCAACCTCGGCTGCAATAAAATCCGAAATTTATATCAAAGAATACTTAGAGGAACGATTGTTGCCATTCATAGATAAGTATCACGATGATTTAAATTACATATTTTGGCCGGATTTAGCAAGTGCCCATAGAGATAAAGAGACAATATCGTGGATGAATGAAATGATTAACTTCGTGCCGGTCGATATGAACCCTCCTAATGTCCCCAAAGCCAGGCCAATCGAAGACTTTTGGGTAGTATTGGCTCAGAATGTGTATGAGGGTGGATGGGAGGCCAAAAGTGAACAACAACTGATTCGGCGTATCGAAGCCTGTCTGAAAAAATTGATTTGACATTTTTACAATTCCTTATGAAGGGTATCAAAACTAAATTGAGATTAATAGCCGATCAAGGCGTTCAATCGATTTACAGAAAATAATTTTAAAAAAATAAATATTGTGTTATTATTTTTTAAAAATAAAAATTTTTTTTCTTTTATTTCTTTAAAAATATAAGGCTTTGATTTTTGTGTCACTAATTATGCATCACCCGTTACAATGAATGATGAACTTAAAAACATATCTACTTGGTTCAAATGTAACAAGTTAACTCTTAACATTAATAAAACCAAACGAATTCTTTTTCATTCACTCTTTAAAAAACGCTGTTTACCCCAAAATATTACCAAAATATTTATTAATAAATTTGAAATAAAAAGAGACTTATTTACTAAATTTTTAGGAGTGGTTCTCGATGAGAACATTACATGGAAACCGCATATAGAATATATTTGCTCGAAAATATCTAAAAGTAACGGAGTCTTATATAAACCCAGATCATATTTAAACAAAAAAGCCTTAACCTAACTTTATTACTCATTTATTCACACCTATAAGCTAAAATGCTTTTTTCGCCGTCAGAAGAATGCGATCCGATTGATTAATTTTGCGGATCGTTTTACTCATTTCAAATCATTATTTATGGAAACGAAAATACTTAATATTTACGAGCTCAATGTTTATAACATTTTATGCTTTATTTAGATGTGGAAAAACGATTTAACTTTACCTATCTTTAAAGACCTTTTTTCTCTAAACCTAGTAAATAAATATTTACTTAGAAATAAAAATTTTGTACATGAACCTATTTGCAGAACAAAATTAAACAAATTTTGCATTACATTTCGAGCATCTTATCTTTGGAATAAAATTATTATACCTAATACATTTCCAATCTTTAAAAGTAAACTTAAAAATTTTATTTTATCTATTGATGATATATTTAAATACTTTTTATAACAATCACGCCGTTGCCTTTTTAATTGTAAGACTGTTGTATTTTCTCTTGCCTATTAAAAAGAGATGTATTACTGTATTTACTTTGTATATATGTATTTATATATTTACGTTTTTATAAGATCTGATGATAAGATCAGACTTTTTATTATATATAACATTAGTGGTTTGATTTATATTTCCAATTTATATCACGATTTATTGTAATTTTTTAGTTTTGTTAATGTATTGATTTTAAAAAACTTGTAAAAGGTTCTGATGATAAGATCATTATGATCTTCTTTCAGAAGCCTTGTCTCTTTATCTTTGTAAACAACGATAAAAATGTGAGAAAAAAAAAAAAAATGTAGAGATTTCTTTTAAAAAATTTTGTACTTTTTATTTTAAAAAAAGTTCGTTTTAGCTGAATGCGTTTTAAGTTTCCGGTTCTGCAACTTGGTAAATAAATAGTGAAAAAAGAAATTTGTTAAAATAAAAACGACAATGTATTTCTATTTGTATTTTGTTACTTTTTTTTTTTTAAATCATTTTTACGTGTTTTTTGAGTTTTTTAAGATTTTTTTCTTTTAAGGCAAAATTTGATACCACTAGAAAACATTCAGTTTAGGCTATTGACTGCGAATTAGATAATGCAATATTTACGGCCTTGGAATAAAAAAAGTTATGTATATAAGTCACATATTGTAATAAATTGCAATACGATGTAGCGGCACTCCTTGCATGTTTTACCCAATTAACGCCTGACCGGATTTCATTGCGTGCACAGCACGCAGTGGCCAAATTAAGAGGCGGCCAAAAAACTATAAGAATACATCACATATACTCCACATTCAGTGCCGTAAAATGTAAAAATTTAATACAAAACTGCGAAATAAAAATTCATATCATTTTAAATTTTGTTGTATTTTTCTTCATATACAAGAATGCTTTTTTATGCGTTACGTATAATTTCAGTATCACCACTTTCTTGCTGATATTAATTTTTTTCTTTACGTTAATTAAACTGTTTAATTTGTTTTTTTTTTCAAAAAAAATGTCAGTAATTGTAGACTGTCTTTTATGAGCTAGTAAATTTATGTCAAAGAAACGATTTATATCTTTAAGAGCCCTTGTCAAATTATCTCCAAATTAGTTTGGTTTTTTTTTAAATTAGTCTAGACATCCTCCCGAAGCTTAAAAATTTTTGAAGCATAACTCTATCGCAAAATATTAAGCTTTTTATTTTACCAGCAAGCCACTAATTGGTGCATTATCAGCTCTTATACATTTGAACCATTTAAGTACAGCTTTGTTCAATAGGTTATACGAATCAACTTTCACCCGTTTAGTCAAATTTCCTTGACAAAAAGCGTCAAGGATTTTTATATAAATACAACTTAGAGACGTCATTTCCAAATGTCGCCACGAGTTTAAAACTTTTTCTAACAACTCTAGTTTCTGTTGCTTCAGGAGAACGAAGTTTCTAAAAACTGAAAATAAATCCATGACACAAGAACGTCTCAGTAATGTTTCAATTATTGCAATAGAAAGTGACATTGCTGATTCGTTAAATATTTAAGATGCGATTGAACAATTTGCTTCCATAAAATCGCTTCGAGTTTTAATATGTAAATGTTTATGTTAAATGTAATTTTGTAAGTATAAATTAAAAATTAAATTTTGATTTTTTTTGCTTTGGTATTTGTTACCTTGAAGGGCGGCCATACATACTAGCTCGCAGCCGGTCAAATGCCCAAGCACGGCCCTGGTTTTACCTATTTAAGTCAATCGATGTATGTACACTACCAGCATGTTCTACCTA